TAGAGATGGAGTTTCACTGTCTTGGCCAGGCAGGTCTCAAACTCCTGACATCATGATCCACTCGCCTCGACCTCCCAAAGTGCTGGAATTACAGGCATTAGCCACCACGCCTTGCCTACAGACCGTCTCTTAAATTGTTATTTTCACAGGTAGCTAATACTTAAATAATGCATTCCAATCATAACATCAATTTCAGAAAGTACTGTTTTTTCACTTATGATCCAAAATCACTTCCTATTAAATCTTCCCTTTATGTTTCTCTCTTTTTCCCTTTTATTGAACCACACTGAGTTATTGCCCTAAAAAAAGCATAAAGCAGCTGGGCACAGTGGCTCACACCTGTAATCCCAGCACTTTGGGAGGCTGAGGCTGGCAGATCACAAGGTTAGGAGTCCGAGACCAGCCTGACCAACATGGTGAAACCCTGTCTCTACTAAAAATACAAAAATTAGCTGGGCATGGTAGAGCATGCCTGTAATCCCAGCTACTGGGGAAGCTGAGCCAGGAGAATCACTTGAAGCCAGGAGACAGAGGTTGTGGTAAGCTGAGATCGTGCCACTGCACTCCAGCCTGGGCAACAGAGCGAGACTCTGTCTCAAAAAAAAAAAGCATAAAGCTTTACTAATTCTAATTGTCAGCCTGAAAGACAGAATTGTTAACTTTTTATTACAAAAATTTTTGAACATATATAAATGTAAACAGAAGTATTCTGAACCCATATATGCCCATTACCAATTATGTAATTACTAATCTGTTTTCTTTTTTTGTTGATGTTAATTATACTTTAAGTTCTGGACTACATGTCCTGATCTTGCAGGATTGTTGCACAGGTACACACCTGCCATGGTGGTTTGCTGCCTCCATCCCCCCATCACCTACCTCAGGCATTTCTTCCAGTGTCATACCTCCCCAACTTCCCCACCCCCTGCTGTCCCTCCCCTAGCCCTCCACCCCTCAACAGGCCCCAGTGTATGATGCTCCCCTCCCTGTGTCCATGTGTTCTCATTGTTCAACACCTACCTGTGAGTGAGAACATACAGCATTTGGTTTTCTGTTCTTGTGTCAGTTTGCTGAGAATGATGGTTTCCAGATTCATCCATGTCCCTACAAAGGACATGAACTCATCTTTTTTAATGGCTACATAGTACTCCATGGTGTATATGTGCCACATTTTCTTTATCCAGTCTATCATTGATGGGCATTTGGGTTGGTTTCAGGTCTTTGCTGTTGTAAACAGTGCTGCAATGAACATACGTGTGCTTGTGTCTTTATAATAGAACGATTTATAATCCTTTGGGTATATACCAAGTTATAGGATTGCTGGGTCAAAGGGTATTTCTATTTCTAGATCCTTGAGGAATCGCCACACTGTCTTCAACAATGGTTAAACTAATTTACACTCCCACCAACAATGTAAAAGTGTTCCTATTTCTCCACATCCTCTTCAGCATCTGTTGTCTCCAGATTTTTTTGATGATCACTATTCTAACTGGCGTGAGATGATATCTCAATGCGGTTTTGATTTGCATTCTCTAATGACCAGTGATGATGAGCATTTTTTCATATGTTGGCCTCATAAATGTCTTCTTTTGAAAAGTGTCTGTTCATATCCTTGGCCCACTTTTGGATGGGGTTGTTTGGTTTTTTTCTTGTACATCTGTTTTAGTTCTTTGTGGAAGCTGGATATTAGCCCTTTGTCAGATGGGTAGATTACAAAAATTTTTTTCCCATTCTGTTAGTTGCCAGTTCACTCTAATGATCGTTTCTTTTGCTGTGCAGAAGCTCTTAAGCTTAACTAGATCCCATTTGTCTATTTTGGCTTTTGTTGCCAATGCTTTTGGTGTTTTAGTCATGAAGTCCTTGCCTATGCCTATGTCCTGAATGGTATTGCGTAGGTTTTCTTCTAGGGTTTTCGTAGTGTTAGGTCTTATGTTTAAATCCTTGATCCATCTGGAGTTAATTTTCATGTAAGGTGAAAGGAAGGGGTCCAGTTTCAACTTTCTGCACATGGCTAGCCAGTTTTCCCAACATCATCTATTAAACAGGGAATCCTTTCCCTATTGCTTGTTTTTGTCAGGTTTGTCAAAGATCAGATGGTTGTAGATGTGTGGCATTACTTCTGAGGCCTCTGTTCTGTTCCACTGGTCTATATCTCTGTTATGATACCACTACCATGCTGTTTTGATTAATGTAGCCTTGTAGTATAGTTTGAAGTCAGGTAGCATGATGCCTCCAGCTTTGTTCTTTTTGCTTAGGATTGTCTTGTCTATGCAGGGTCTTTTTTAGTTCCATATGAAGTTTAAGGTGGTTTTTTCCAGTTCTGTGAAGAAGGTCAATGGTCGCTTAATGGGGATAGCATTAAAACTAATCTATTTTCATATAAATCTCCACCCCTTCTACCTCCAAGATTAGTTTGAAATAAATCGCAGGTATCATAGTATTTCATATTCATGAGTATTTCAGTATAGGTATCCCTAAAGGATTTTTTAAATCCCATGTAACTGTAATATCATTTTATATCTTAAAATATTGAGGTTAATTTATTAATTACATCAAATATCTAGTTAATATTTCTGTTTCCTTCTACCCTACAAATATTGCTGCTTCTCCTTTTTTTTTTTTTTTTTTTTTGCAGGTTTTGCTTCTATATTTACACATTTGTCTTAGAGTTTCCCATAATCTAGATTTTACTGATTGTATCATCATGGTGTTATTTAACATGTCTTCCTATATTCTCCATAATGAAGTAGTTGTATATAATGTTTAATGCAATTATATGAGACACAGGTGCAAAAAGTTATTCCAACTAGATTAAGAAGTACTGTTTTTGTGAGAGAGTTTTTAAAATGACAAAAAAGACTGTTAATAGGGTTTTAGATATAAGTTATGTTTACCATTTACTCATGAATTCTTAGAATAAACAGTATCATTCTATGGTTTTTTAACTATTATGAAAAAATTTGTTAGAGAAAACTTCAGAGATATATTTTGACAAACCCCATATTTATTTGAGTCTCAAAGACTGTTCAGGCCAGGCACAGTGGCTCACGCCTGTTAATTCCAGCACTTTGGGAAGCCGAGGCAGCTGGATCACTTGAGGTCAGGCGTTCAAGACCATCCTGGCCAACATGGTGTAAAACCCCATCTCTACTAAAAATACAAAAAAAAAAAAAAAAAATTATCCAGGCATGGTGCTGTGGTCCTGTAATCCCAGCTACTTGGGTGGCTGAGACAGGAGAATCGCTTGAAGCCTGGAGACAGAGGTTGCAGTGAGCTAAGATCGCACCACTGCACTCCAGCCT